TTGTAATCTACCTTGTGTCTCATGGAGCTGCGGTGGCTCAAGTGGTTAAGATGCTGAACTGCAGGCTGTGGAAGGTCGGTAGTTCAGCAGTTCAAGACCCGGGTGCCGCATGATGGAGTGAGCTCCCATCTCTAGTTCCAGCTCCTGCCAACCTAGCAGGAAAGCAAGAAATTGCAAGTAGATAAATAGGTACCATTTCGGTGGGAAGGTAACAGCGTTCCGTGCGCCTTGGTGTTTAGTCATGCCGGCCACATGACCACGGAAACGTCTTTGGACAGCGCTGGCTCTTCGGCTTGGAAACGGAGATGAGCACTGCAACCCTAGAGTCGGATTTGACTGGCTTTCGAGCAAGGGAACCTTTACCTTTACTTTACCTTGTGTCTGTGAGAAACGTGGGCTATAAATGAAGTAAAATTGCATAGTCATTAAACAAATCCCGTGGTGCATGAGCAAACCCTTGCAAGCACATGAATGGGCTCTCTGGATCCCACCAGCTACGTGTGAAGCTGCAGTCTTGTGGATGCTCACTTTCGTCTGTGCTCCACTAGTCTTGATGGGGGCTTCCTCCAGAGTAAACATGCGTAGGGCCAAGCTACAATTTCGATCCCTTTATTCATAGTCATTTCTGTGCTGTGTTTGAGACTGAATCACTTTCATTAGTAAGCTGGTATGGCTCATATTTGCATATTCTTATAACAGCCAGAGCCTGCTATAATTTTGTCTCTTATGCCTAATAACTGATATCCTGGGAACACGGCCCAATGTAATTTAGAAACCCTTCCTCTCTTTTTCAACTGAAGCCTTGTTTGACCTTGCTGTCCTCAAAAAGAAAGTGAGGGAAAAGGAAGAGAGGAAGAAAAAGAAGCTGAAAGTGATAAAATCGGAAGTGGACGACTTCTCCGAGTCCTTCGGCAACCCTGAAGGGATTCCGCCGATGTCTCAGGACCCACCCCCTGTGCCGCTTTTATCAGTCAAGGAAGAGTAAGTTGGTTCCTATAGAGAGAAGGCGCTGTGCGTATAATTCACTAATCATGTATATAGATGTTTAAAATAACAATAGCGCTGTCCTGGCAAGTCACAACTGATCCACGGCAGCCCCAGGAACCTGTAGGGTTTTCAAGGCAAGGGGCAAAGAGAGGTTTGTTTTGCCATTGCCTTTGCCTTCCTCTGCATGGCAACCCTGGTCTCCCTTAGTGGTCTCCCATCTATGTACCAACTGTAGCTGACGCTGCTTAGCTTCCAAGCTCTGATGAGATGGGGCTGGGCTATCAGGGGGAGCACCTAGGGTTGCCAGCTCTGGGTTGGGAAATACCTGGAGATTTTGGAGGTGGAGCCTGAGGAGGGCGGGATCTGGAAGGGGAGGGATGTCAGGAGAGTATAATGCTGTGGAGTCCACCTTCCAAAGCAGCCATTTTGTCCAGGCAAACTGATCTCTGTCATCTGGAGATCAGTTGTCATAGCAGGAGATCTCCAGCTGCTACCTGGAGGTTGGCAACCTTAGGAGGAGCAACTGACCCTGCGAGTGACGTGACATAGTGAGAATGTGAACCCCGGTCTCCCGGATCCTCATCCAGCACTCTAACCACTACATCACATTGGTTCTCGCTTAACACGGTGTCTTTCCAATGAAGCCTGTTTATCAACACTGAGGATAATCAGAGTCAGTGCTCCCTCTAAACTGTGGAGTATTGTGAGCAAAAATTCTACTTTGTGAGCTACCGGCATTAACGTTGTGAGTGAGCAAATTGGCTAGTGCATAAATCAGCTTGCTCTGGAGCCATGCTTCCTGAGCTAAGACAAAAATGTGTGAGCCAGAGGCTAAAAAACTGTGAGGTAGTTCACACTAACTCAGCTTAGAGGGATCGCTGATCAGAGTACAGCAGGTTTAACACCAGTGTACCATGTTATGGCAGAAGCAGTGTTCCATGGCTAATCTGGCCAGTCTGAATGGTGTGTATGAATTAGCTGTTAGGTATAAAATGGGTGGTGGTGATGGAGAAAATGAATCTTTAAGGTTAGCGCCAGCCTGCAAAAGTACATTGTGCTATGAAGGAGTGAGGCAGGGGGACGAAACATGATTTGGAAATATATATGTTTTCCCAGGCAAAATAGCATGGTGTGCATTGCTCTTGTCTATATGGCATCAGTGAAAAGAGCGCTGAGATCTGGCATGTAGTGACCTCAAGTGCGAGGTGAGAGGGCTTGAATTTTGCCTTAGCCACGGATTTGTTGCATGGCCTTAGGGTGTGGTCATTTTCATGGTACACTGTGGTCTGTGCAGCTCACTCGGGTTGGACGGCTGGGTGTACCTGGTACCAGGCAAAGACTTGTACTCACCCACCAGTAATTTTCGGAGACAGAAGGAAGGGGTTTCTATCCATGGAGCATGAGTTCATTGAAGTGCAAAATGCCCCCTTGAAATGCTGCTCCTAGAGAACGGGGGATCTCCAAAACAGCATGAGTGTGGGTGGCAGAAGTATGCAGCGAAGGGCAGGATTGGCAAAAACTGCCCTCTCCTTTCTTCTGCAGAAATCTTTCAATGGATCCATGCCAAATTCTAGTTTCTTCCTAAACCAGATTGCCTTGCTACTTACCACCTTCCCCCAAGCAGAAAAGACAGTCTTGTACACTGCTGTATTTGTGGCCAGGCATTTGCAAGGGAAAGGCGTTAACATTACTGAGAAACTGAGCTTGCAAATTCAAGCATCACATTACTGGGAAACTGGGTTTGTGAGTTCATGCATCCCAGCAAATCAGCTGCAGACCCTGGTTTGAAATCCCAGTCTGATTAAACCGCAGTTTATACCACTGGCTGAAGCCCTTCCCTCAGCACCCTCCTATGGACACATGAAGCTGTCTTCTACTGAGTCATGCCATTGGCCCATCACAGTCACCAGTGTCTGCTCAGACTGGAAACAGTTCTCCAGGCACTCAGGTTGGGGTTTTTCACATCACCAATTACTTGGTCTCTTTAACTGGAGATGCCAAGGATGCAAGGCCGATGCTCTGCCACTGAGCCACAGCCCTTCCCCTCAGATTTACAGTGTGGAGCTAAGCTGGTGTCATAAGATTACTGCAATAGTGTATGTGAACACACAGAAAATTACTTACATTATTCAATTCATCATCATCATTTTTGGAATGTGGGTTATCTAGGTGGATTAAAAAAAATCTCACTTTCTTCAAAGGCCTCTTGAAGATATCAAGCCTTGCCTCGGAGTAAACGAAATCTCCTCTAGTTTCTTTTCCTTGCTTTTGGAGATTCTGCTCCTCGAAGGACCTGCTACTCTCTCGGTGGTAAGAGAATACGTTTTTCCACCCATAATGAGATAGTGCTCTGCCTGCAGGTTTTGCGTCTTTTTAGACAATTCAATTTGTTGTACGGTGCTTCCATGATTTGTAAGTGGTTTAGAATTTGCTAATTGCTACCTTTCAGCCACGCAGGTGTTCCTACCAGCCACTCCCATAGGAAAATTGTACTGTTGCAAAGCCAATTCCAATTCCAATAACCTTTATTGGCATATCTGTTGCAAAGCATGATGCATTAGCCTCCTTTGTAAGGTGCTCACTGATACTCAGGAAAAGCAGCTCTGAGTTTTCCTGTATATTTCAGACTAGGGATAAGGGAACCCCTGGCGTGCAGGCCCAGCACCCCAGTCCACATTGCCCGACATGCAAGGCCAGTTCTCCATCCAGTGCACAGAGATATGAAGCCCTGAGGGATAGCTGTGCCAGTCAGGCTGGTGGCACGGAAGAAGGAGATGGGCACCGTTTGTGTCTGTCATCCTCCCTTCCCCGCCCTGTATAGCCACAGGCAGGCATGAGGCAAGACCTTGAAAAACGGCCAGTTCAGCTGGTGTTCAGCTTGCTCCCGTTGTGTCTGGTCAAGAACAGCCCTCCTCTATCCCACTGGCTCTGTTGACTGGCAAGCCAATGTCTTCACAGCTAGATGTGCCCACCCCCCCCCCCCAGCTTTGTTTGGATCACAAAAGCTGCACGCCTCTGTTTCACACCATTAACAGCTTGCCCGAGCGATTGTCCGCTTCTTTTGTTCAATTGTCCTTCTCTTTTGCTCAGCTTGAAGATAAAGTCATGGACTGGCAGTCTTCCCCCGCCAGCACACTGAACAGCTGGTTCTCCTTCGCCCCCAACTGGTCCGAGCTTGTCTTGCCGGCCTTGCAGTATCTCACAGGCGAGAGCAGAGGTAAGTCCTGCATCCTAGTCGACACTGGAAACAAAGCTATAACCATAGGAGTTGGCCGTTCATTTTCAGACCTGCTGCCAGCATCAGGCCTGTCTTGCTTTCTTGAACTTTGCCCAAGGATGGAAATAAGTGGCCTCTGAAGTTAATGCATTAACAGAAGCATTGTGTCCAGATCAGGGGAGATGGTAGTTCCGTTCTATTCTGCTGTGGTCAGGTCTCACCTTGAGTACTGTGTCCAGTTTTGGGCACCACATTTTAGGAAGGATGTTGACAAACTCGAGCGTGTCCAGAAGAGGGCAACCAGGATGGTGAGAGGGTTGGAATCCAAGTCTTATGAGGAAAGGCTGAAAGAGTTGGGTATGTTTAGCCTGGGAAAGAGAAGGCTTGAAGACTGCATGATTGCAGTCTTCAAATATTTGAAGGGCTATAATGTAGAAGATGGAGCAGATCTATTCTGTCTTGCTCCAGATTGCAAGACTAGATCTAATAGGTGGAAATTACAAGGGAGTCGATACCGGCTAAATATCAGGAGAAACTTCTTAACTGTAAGGGTGGTTAAGCAGTGGAACAGACTGCCTCGGGAGGTGGTGGATGCTCCTTCGCTGGATGTTTTCAAGTGGAGGCTGGACGACCATCTTTTGGGTATGTTGTAGGACTATCTTTCGGCTATGCTCCTGCAAAGTGCAGGGGGTTGGACTAGATGGCCTGCAAGGTCCCTTCCAACTCTAACATTCTATGATTCTATGAAGTGGCCTCTGGACAGATGGCCATTGTAAGCCTTCTGAGACTCGTACAGTCTTTGCCTGCTGTGCTTTCTCTGTAGGGGACTCTGGGGGGGAAAACCTGAGCAGGTCTGCTCTGAAGCAAGTCCTGTTTTACCTGATGGGGCTTACTTCTAGGACAGTGTTCGTAGAATGTAATCTAGACCACCCTCTCCCAAATTCATTCACTTAAGACAAATGGCAGCCTTCCCGTTGAATCTGATTCTGTTCCCAGCAGACCCGAATAAGAACCTTCTAACTTGGAAGGTAAAATATATTCAGTAATCCAGCAACTCGGTTTATGACGCTGGCCTTTGAACGAGTCCCTGTAAATATCCCTTTAGACATAAGATTTATAGTAACTTCCTGTTGAATTTTAGCATAAACCTATCACCTGAAATTACAGAAGCAAGTCTGGTTTGTGGGGAGGGTGGGTATTATTTTTAAAATAATAAAGTCCGTGTTTATCTAAACAACATTTCGAGTTTTGTTTCCATCCGAAGAAAGGAACAGACAAAATAAGAAGATGCATCAACGGCCGTGAAAGGGTGGGCTAGCTTGCATCATTAACAAGAGTAGAAACAAGGTATTTAACAAGATTTGCTTTCTGTTGCAGATACTCCTTCCAGTTTTTCTCTATTTGTTGAATTCAAAGAGAAGACTCAGCAGTGGAAACTAATAGGTAACATAACTTGGCCTTCTTTCTCTGCTAGCAGAAGTTAGTAGAGCTGTTTTCTCAAGGTATTTGATCCCGGTTAAGATTTTTATTGTTTTCTACGTAAGACAGCAGATATAACAACATACTGTCGGGAGGACGGTGTCAGCGGCCCCCCGACTATGCGGGAGGCATCCCCCTTAACAACAAACAAACCCCATGGAACCCCCCCAAATATAACTCCCCCCTATTCTCCTCTCCTTTCAAATCTCTCAGCTGCCTGCGTGTGCAGCTCTTTCCTTATCTTCCCTTACTTTCTTCCTTTGCTTTTGGGCCACTGCTACTATCCTTCTAGATGCCCCTTCTTTTATGTGTAGCCCCTCACCCACGTGAAGATAACGCATGCGTCCTTCTTTCTTTGTGTTTTAATTTCCACACATGCATCTTGCACTGTTATTCCCGAGAGACAAAGAAATACCCCAGTTCTCTCGTATGAAGCAACCAAACTGGTTTTATAAACTGTTTTTTTTTATAAACAAGGGGATTTGTACGAGCCTGAGAAAGCCAGTGGTCAAAACTCAGAGTGAGTTACTGGCAAGAGCTGAGAATAAGCCTTCCATTTGTCAGACTGCAGCTGTGAGATCTGGCCATTTCCATAAACTGTGACAACTCTTACTCATGCTCATGGCTTTTCTTCTTTTGGATTCAAGGTAGAGGGAGAACCTCTGCCAGTCAGTACTGGGCCAGGCAGACCACTGGTCCGATTAAGACAACTTCCATTCATCCCCTTCTGGATCAAAGAGAAAGATTTAAATAGATAGATGTGCTTGCTTCTCTTCAGGGATCCTGGAATGTATTCATTCACTTTGTGCACAGTGGCTTGTATATCCCCCAGCGCCTTAACTACTGTTAATAAGAACATAAGAACATAAGAGATGCCAATGTTGGATCAGGCCAAAGGCCCATCCAATCCAACACTCTGTATCACACAGTGGCCAGAAATACCAGTGCCATCAGGAGGTCCACCAGTGGTGCCAGGACATTAGAAGCCATCCCACTGTTGACCCCCCCCCCCCAAGCACCAAGATGACAGAGCATCACTTGCCCCAGAGTCCCTATCTATACCTTGTGGCTAATAGCCACTGATGGACCTCTGCTCCATATGCTTATCTAATTCCCTTTTGAAGCCGTCCATGCTTGTAGCCACCACCACTTCCTGTGGCAGTGAATTCCAAGTGTTAATCACTCTTTGGGTGAAGAAGTACTTCCTTTAATGTAGTCTGGATGTTAGCAGTAGGTGACGATCCACTCTGTCTTCTCTGGTTCTGACTCTAGGCTCTTCTCAAGACCACGAGAAGGAGCTGGCAGCGCTCTTCCAGCTCTGGCTGGAGACCAAAGACCAAACGTTTTTCAAGGTGAGGTGGAAGAGTTTGGTGTGGTGGTTAAGTGCGCGGACTCTAGTCTGGGAGAACCAGGTTTGATTCCCCACTCCTCCACTTGCAGCTGCTGGATGACCTTGGGCAAGCCATAGTTCTGACAAGAGCTGTTCTCTCAAGGACAGTTCTGGAAAGAGCTCTCTCAGCCCCACCTACCCCACAGGGGTGTCTGTTGTGGGGAGGGGAAGGGAAAGGAGTTTGTAAGCCTCTCTGAGACTCCGAGTGAAGGGCAGGGTATAAATCCAATGTCCTCTCTTCTTCTTTTTGCCATAAAGCATGTCCCAATTGACTCTTTCACTCGGCTGACATTAATCTCTCTTTAATTAGCAGGATAATGAAGACAGCTGTGATGCCACCACACCCATTCCCCGAGTGTAAGTACATATGAAATGGGCTGAAAACCGGGAACTGGTGTGTATATTACCTTACACTTCCAGGGCCAGCTTTGTTAACAACCAGCACTATGTACCCATTGATAAATAAGCTAGCCCAAACGGTGCTTTGCAGGAAAAAAGATTCAAAAGCGTGGGTGTCATTTCTGGCTGCTTTTGTATCTTGAGTTGAAGGGAGGTGGAATCTCTTGCATCCAGTTGTCTCTAGACAACTTTGTGAAAATGGTTCCTAACTTAAATTTCCGAAAGTTGCCTCATGTCGGAGTCGTTGTGCCAAACTAGCACAATTCCAACTTTGGTTCTCATTAGCTGTACTGAGCCAGTGCAGCTGCGAGAGAGAATGAGCTTAGATTCCCGTCCTTTATCATCAGTGTCAGTTTATTTCTGCTTGTAAAGTCTTGGCCACCAACCACGGTACCAGAGGCAGAACGATCTTGGCTGGATTCCAGGTTGCTTAGCGGCCAAATAGCAGTGTCGCCGTACGTTCTCCCTGTAATTTTCGTGTTGGATTCTCCTTTCCTTCCAAATCTCAATTGCTGCAGAGGGTAACTGTTTAAAAAGCTGCTTTTTTCCCATCCAAAGAATTGTAACACATGGTGATGAATAAGCGATATCTCATTTTAGTGCAGTATTTTTCCAGTCATTTTTTTTCTGTGTCTGGTAGGGTGGTTGTTTTTGCTTATTGCCAGTTAGCGATACTAACTTCTTCATAGTTTGGTAACTACCTAGATTTTATCCTATCCCGTGCTATGGAGGGAAAGCATTATAAAGCAAATGAAATTACACCCAATGAAATAAAACACTGTGCTCTTTGGATTCTCGTGTTTCAGTGTGCCTGTGACGAAAGCAAAATGGAAAGAGGTAGCTTCTAGAAAACATGTCTAGAAATATTGTAGGGAACATTTCTAGAAGTATTGTAAATAGTCCAGCAGTTGCCATTCTCCCCCGTTCAGTAATTTAGACTTAAATTATACACCCAAGAAACAATTGTTTTATAGATCAGAGGTTCTCAGGCAATGGCAGAAAGTGACTAGACAGATTCATGGAGGATTAAGTCTACCAGAGGCTAGGCTACTAGCCATGGTGACTAAAGGTAACCTCCATGTTCAGAGGCAGTGAACCTCTGAATCCCAGTGCCAGGAGGCAACATCAGGGGAAGGCCTCTGTGCCCGGGTGTCGGACTTCCAGTGGAACTGGCTGGCCACTGTGTAAGGCAGGATGCTGGACTAGATGGGCCACTGGTATGATCCAGCAGGGCTTTTCTTATGTTCTACACAGAAGTAGGCTAGGTGGGAATGCAGGGCTTTCATAACGGTTACTAAGAATTTGCTTTCTTCATTCCCCATGGCCACCTGCAATTGTGACATGCTGCCTTCCGCCGACCCACCTGCCACAGATGACCCATCTGTGACTGTTTTGCGTGATGGTATCAACCTCAGACACTTGGTGTTTCTCCTGATCCTGTCCCCCCTGCCCATCAGGAAGTGTCTTTGATGTGCCACTTCCTGCCAACGTACCTGCCAGGGATTATCCATTAAAGCCACAGCAATAACATTTGCTCCCAACAATGCTGTTGCAACTTTGTATGTCTTTGAAACTTGCCGTAAGTGAAAGATATAACAATAGAATGTCTGTAAACAAAAAACAGTCCCTCTCAGAAAAAGTGGGCTAACTCTAACCCATCACAGTGGGACCCTAGTTCTTTGACAGAGTGTTCAGTGGGATGTAACAGGTTGAGAATCACTAGCATAAAAGGCAAACTGCTTTTTCCTCCCCTTTTGGGCAGTGATCTGTTGAGGATATGGTTGCAGGGTCCCCCACTGCCGATCAGCTGGACGGTGGGGGGGGACTTACCAGCAGAGAGAGGAAGGTCCAGGCGATGTGGCAACATCACTTCCGGTGTGCACAGGCAGTGACATCATCACACTGGCAATGTCCAGGTGACACTCCGGTATTTGGGCAAAAACTCTATGGTAGAAGCCATTCTTTCCATACAGTTTTTGCTCAAATACCAGAGTGCTGCCGAGACATCATGGTTTGATGATATTACTTCCTGTGGACACAGGAAGTGACATCTATACATTGCCTGTGACTTCCTCACTCTCTTTGTAAGCCCCCCCAACCCTAGTTTAGGATGTTAAAAGGGCTCTGTACGAATTCGTTTGTGGTTCCGCTTATATTGTAGTTACCCAGGCCTCACACTGGTGTTTGTTTCAGAAGGACTGACTACGTGGTCCGGCCTAGCACAGGGGAAGAGAAACGCATTTTCCAGGAACAGGTGAGGAGCCCATCCATCCTGCCTAGTTTATTGTATTGTATTAGATTATGCAAAGGAGATTTTGGTCCTGTTCTGGATGGCCCCGGGCAAGCCCTATCTTGTCAGATCTTGGAAACTAAGCAGGGTCGGCCCTGGTTGGGTGGTGGGTGGGAGACCACCAAGGAAGTCCCACTGGCCCCACTGGTGGACCTCCTGATGGCACTGGTATTTCTGGCCTGATCTAACATTGGCGTCTCTTATGTTCTTAAGTCTAGGGTTGCTACGCAGAGGCAGGCACTGGCAAGCCAGCTTTGAGTGTCTCTTCCCTTGAAAACCCGACAGGGTTGCCATAACTGGGCTGCAATTTGATGGCAGTTTGCACACACATACCACAGAGACAGATGTTTTGACAACGATGTACTTAAAATTAAATGGCAAAAGGGCTTTGAAAACGTCTGACACTGATAAGTTGTGTTTTTTATGCTTACATTGTTTTGAATTCCCGGCAGTAAAGTGACTAATATAGTAACTGCCTGTCAATTGCATTGGATATACTTGTCTAGATAAGTGTTACAGCTCTGCTTATATCCTGCTGTGCCTTGTAGTCAATGTTCTGGGTTTTCAGGTCAAAAGAAGCAGGACATTTTCTTTGTCCGTAAGAAGAGATTCCAAAAGAAGTCCCATCTTTAACTTCTTTTTTAGCAGTGTTTTGCCACTTCAAGCTGGTCTAAAGCTTAACATCGTGCTAGGCCTTTGGAGATAAGCGCTCAGTTTCAGGATGGTAGAACACAGGCTGCTTTCCCTCTCACACTGCAAATTCACCCCAGTTCTCTTTGTCTGTTGTTGCATCTGATTAATCTTGGTGAACACAAATCTGTGTGCTCCAAATCTAGCTTCTGGAGGATAGTATTCAGTATTCTAGAGAGTTTTGCTCTACGTATACTGCTTATGATTTATTGGTGCATAAGGAAATAGTCTCCACTTGAGAGTTTCTTACTATCCTCAACTAGTTGTGAGGCTCTCCCCTCTCCAGCTCTGTCGGCTAGCCCTCAGCTGTCCTGCTGGGTCTCTCCGGTGGGTCTCCCAAAGCCTCAGAATTGGAAGAGAAGGGGGGTGTTTCATCAGATTCCTTCTCTGTCCCAGGACAGCAGCTCTTCTCAAGACCAGAGCTGTGTCCTTCCTTCCCCCTTGGTGTCTCACAGAAGCCCTTTTTAAGGAGCCTGTATCCCCACCTCCCCAGCCACATCTGGTCTATTCCTGGGGGATGCTGACCAATGCTCCCTCTAAGCTGTGGAGTCTTGTGAGCACAAATTGTGCTTTGTGAGCTACTGGTATTAAAGTTGTGAGCCAGCGATTTGGCTCCTGCCTAAATTAGTTTGCTCTGGAGCCATCCTTCCTGAGCTAAGACAAATGTGTGAGACGGAGGCTAAAAACTGTGAGCTAGCTCACACTAATTCAGCTTAGAGGGAACACTGGTGCTGATTGCTGTCTCCTCCTTCTTTGCCCTTGGAATAGCTTTCCCTCCTCCTCCTCCAGCCATCCATTCCATTGGCTGTCCTCTAGGGCTGGCTGGGATCCTCCAGCCATCCCTTCCATTGGCTGTCCTCTAGGGCTGGCTGGGATAGGCCGTAGTCTCTCTGGGCCCACCCCTACCCAGACCTCAGTGCCGGGGCTGCTACTGGGCCTGGGTGACTGTTCTTGGCCCTGCCCCGGACTCCTTTGTGGCTGTTTGGCACTGATGTCTCCTTGGGGCTGCCCCGAGGCTAGGCCCCAGCCGGCACCAACTAGAAAGGCAGCCTCGCTGGTGGGGGCAGCTCAGAGTCTGGCACCATCCCTGGACAACTAGTGTTTGATGGACATTTGCTCAGCTCTCCCTTTACCAGCATGGTGTAGTGCTTAAGAGTTGCAGACTCTGATCTGGAGAACTGGGTTCGAATCCCCATTCCTCCTCCGCATGAAGCCTGCTTGGGTGACTTTGGGCCAGTCATAGTTCTCTCAGAACTACCCCACAAGGAACCTGCTGCGGGGAGAGGAAGGGAAGGCAAATTGCAAGCTGCTTTGAGACTCTTTAGGGTAGAGAAAAGCAGGGTATCAAAAGCAACTCTTCTACATTTGACTCTCTCTTGCTCATCTGGGCGCTCTCCTTTTCTTCCGCACGCAGGAGCGTTATCGATACAGCCAGCCTCACAAGGCCTTCACGTTCCGCATGCACGGCTTTGAGTCGGTGGTGGGCCCCGTGAAGGGTGTGTTTGACAAAGAAACGTCTCTGAACAAAGCTCGAGAACATTCTCTGTTGCGTTCAGACAGGCCTGCGTATGTCACCATCCTGTCTCTTGGTAAGTTGATGTTGAGTGTGGCGGAGTATTTCTATACACTTCGCAGACTACCAGTTTTTTATTGGAATGGGTCTAGGGCATAGCCATAAAGCACTGAAGGAGAGATTCATAAAGTCCAAGGTTCAGTCACTGATATCTTCTTTATGATTCATATGTATAAAGTCCCAGGTTTAATCCAGAGAGCCAGCATGGTGTAGTGGCTAGAATGTCAAACTAGGACCTGCGAGACTCAGGTTTGAAACCCCACTCCACCATGAAAGCTTGCTGGGTGACTTTGGGTTCAGTTACTGGAGCAGAGGTCCATCCGTGGCTATTAGCCACAAGGTATAGACGGAACACTCTGTCTGGGGCAGTGGTGCTCTGTATTCTTGATGCCTGGGGGGCCACAGTGGGGGGGCTTCTGGAATTCTGGCCCCACTGGTGGACCTCCTGATGGCACCTTGGACTGGATGGGCCATTGGCCTGGTCCAGCTTGGGTTCTATTAGGTTCTTATGTTCATTGTCTCTCAGCCCAACTTACTTTATAGGCTGGTGGTTATGACAATAAAGTTGAGAAGGAGAGAATGATGTTATAAGGTGCTTTGGGTCCCTCTTGGGGAGAAAAGCAGAGCATAAATGTCTAACTAAATAAATTTAAAATTCCTGGCACCTATTTAAGGGCCTTGGGTAGTAAAGCAGGGGAAGCTTCCACATGGAGAGCTGCCGCCAGTAAGATCAGAATAGACAGAGAGCCAGTTTGGTGTAGTGGTTAGGTGCACAGACTCTAATCTGGGAGAGCCGGGTTTGATTCCCCGCTCCTCCACCACATGCAGCTGTTGGTGTAACCTTGGATCAGTCATAGTTTCTCTCAGAGCTGTTCTCTTATGAGCAGTTCTCAAGAGAACCCTCTCAGCCCCATCTACCTCGCAGGGTGGGGAGGGGAAGGGAAAGAAGATTGTAAGCCTCTCTGAGACTCCTTTGGGTAGTGAAGGGCGGGGTAGAAATCCAATCTTTTCTTTTTCATCATCATTCCTTTAAGGTAGAAAGGGGGCTAATAAATGTTTTAAATAAATAAATAAAACGAATAGTGGATGAAATGGATCGGCGATCCAACGATCTGGCTCAGTATAAGGCAGATTTTGAATGTTTGATGAAGAATGCCGTAGTAAGCTGCAAAAAGGCTGCTCGATGTAGAGAGTGCAGTCCACACAAAAAATCTCCACAGCCAGAATCAACCAGCAGGAGCAGAACTGCGAAAATGGCACCGTCTTCGTTGTCGAGTTGACAGTGGCCTTGGAAAGCTTGAAAGCAGAAGAAACTGGGTCATAGAACAGAGCGGAACCTTTCTGTCTGTTTGGGGAAAGGAGAGGGAGATTTTTGCAGCTGCAGCCTCACTTGGCAGCTCCCTGTGGAGAAGAACGCTGTAGAAATCAGGACAGAAACCTCAGCTGAAATGGCAACATCGTGGAAGCTGTTGTTGGTGGAAGATGGGGAGAGGTAGGGAGTAATCACTATTAGAACAAGAGTTGTGTTAGGTGAAGCAGGGAAGCTCCAGGGCAAATGGAACCGATGGGTTTGAGGACTTGTGTTTCAATGTGTGTTTCAGCCTGTGCTTTTTCTCTTAGTTCGTGATGCTGCAGCCCGTCTTCCTAATGGAGAGGGAACACGTGCTGCGATCTGTGAGCTGCTTAAGGACTCCCAGTTCCTGGCTCCTGATGTCACCAGCGCTCAGGTGAGCTGGATTAAATGCAGGCCAGGTTATTCTCTCTCTCAGAGTTTCCCATCTGAAAAACTTCCTGTTGAACACTTGCAGTATTTCATGATGGATTTTAAGGCCTACAAGCCACAAGGTGGAGAGGAAAGCTTATGATGCAGTTTGCAAAACCTCTCTTAAGATCTAGGGCATGGCAGCATGGTTGTTGTCTGCCAGTTCTAGCTCCATACCTCTTCGGTTTATCCCCCAATTTCCGCATATTTTTTTTTTTGCCTTTTGCTTTGTTTTGTGTCTCCCCCCCATTTCCCCCCAGTTCCTCTGGGACCTCTTTTACCTGTATATATTTTTTGCAAGCTGATTCTGAGTCGGCTTTTTCCTCTTGCGTACTGTTTCTGTCAGTTTTCTTTGTCCTGTCCACTCCCACCCACCTCCAGCCCACTTTCAGATTATTGGACTGTGGTCATCATCAAATGACTCTCTCTCCCCCACACCCTGAAGAGGAGTGGTTTTGTTTCTGATTTTTTAAAAAACATTAAAATATCGATTTAGTGTTGTTGTGCTAGTTTGTAGAGGTTCTCTGAATTCCCAGCTTTCATTGAAAAACAGAAAAAGTAAATCCCTGGTCCCTTCTCTTGTGGAGCTACGGGAAAAGGGCATATCTTTGAGAGCTAGAGACTTTTTAAAAATAAATGAAAGCTGGGAATGCAGAGAACCTCCTTAAACTATCATTACAACACTTATGTCAATATAAAAGGTAACGGTAAAGGTTCCCCTTGTTCGAAAGCCAGTCGAATCCGACTCTAGGGTTGCAGTGCTCATCTCCGTTTCAAAGCCGAAGAGCCAGCGCTGTCCGAAGACATTTCTGTGGTCGTGTGGCCAGCGTGACTAAACACTAAGGCGCACGGAACGCTGTTACCTTCCCACCGAAGTGGTACCTATTGATCTACTTGCAATTTCTTGCTTTTGAACTGCTAGGTTGGCAGGAGCTGGAACTAGAGACGGGAGCTCATTCCGTCATGCGGCACACTCGGGTCTCAAACTGCCAAACTACTGACCTTCCACAGCCTGCAGTTCAGTGTCTTAACCACTTGAGCCACCACAGCTCCATTATGTCAATATAAGCGTGGACAAAAAGATGAAAAGGGGGTGCTGCCACCAATGACAACAGCACCTTCCCTTGAAAATCCCCACTATTTAAAGCATGTGCGGAAGAAAATTAATTGACTCCACAACTATGAAAATGCAGAGAGAGCAAGCATGCAGAAGAACCACGCTCAAACCAATTCTACTGCCTGTGGATCGACTGTCGAAAAAATCAGGAGTAAGTTGGCTGTGCAGAAAAGCCTGTAAACACAGACACAATAGTTGGTGGTCACCTGCAGAAACATAATATATAGTGCAGCTGGTGTTGTTCTGGTTACAGACCTATAGCTTTAGTTCTTGCAAGCGCTCTCTCTTTCTCACTGGAATAAGCTTTGTTTTGCTCTGAATAGCCAGAGGAATTCACATTTATTCTGCAGATATTTTCATACCTTGTGTTGGGGATGGCTTAGATATCTGACTCATTTTCATGTGTGTTCTTCCTCCCAGCATGCCCCAGAACACGCTTGCTACATTGGTTCTTTTTTTGGGGTACCTTATTTCATTGCAAGATTTCTCCTCAGGTGAACACTGTTGTGAGTGGTGCCTTGGATCGACTGCACTACGAGAAGGATCCCTGCGTAAAATACGACATTGGCCGCAAACTGTGGATATACCTGCATCGAGACAGGAGTGAAGAGGAGTTTGGTGAGCAGCCACTGGATCAAGTTTGCAGGAAAATTGGGATGTAACAGGGTTGGTGTGGGCTCGCATTAAGTGTAGGCAAAAGAGCCAGTGTTGAACTAGAATTTCTCTGTGGAGGCAGTCGGCCTCTGAATCCCAGAGCCAGGAGGCAACATGAGGGGAAGGCCTTGGCCTCTGTACCCTGTTGTTGGCCCAACAGAGGAATTGGTTGGCCATTTTGTGAGGGGATGCTGAACTAGATGTAGGGCCACTGGTCTGAGCCAGCAGGGCTTTTCTTATGCACTTATGAAAAAAGCTCACAGCATCCCAGAAATACAGGAATAGAAGCAAGCTGTAGCTTCAACTCCTTGGCCTGGGAGAGAATCCAACATTCCCAGTTGTATTACCTGGGCTAACAAGATTGGACAATAGTTTAGTGGCTGTTTTTCCAAACTGTTGGATGCCACACAAAGAACCAAGGAGTTCTGTTCTAAAATTAGATTTTAAAAAAGATATATTTACCTAAAACTAAAATCGTGGCCTGTTAGTGGAAATGCAGTGTAAATATGTTTTTGCCCTCTTTAATGTAAATTCTGCCAACACGGGATTTGTGTGTATTTCGGCGTGTATGTATAATTTTTCTCTTGTTCCTGTTTGAAGAGCAATCACTTTCATTTACTTGTCATGCCAGTTAAAAGGCATAAAAGCCTCCCTGGGGACACATTTGCAGAAAATATTGTAAACATGCATACAGAGCCTTGATAATTTCCATGTAAGGTCTTTCTTTCTTACTGGTAAATTATCCAGCTGGGTGTGTTTTCTCTCGATCACAGAATTTTTGGAATCACAAGCACACCCCCGTGGGAAAAAGGCTGACGGCACAGGCGTGCAGCCTCGGTATTAACATCTACTTGATGATCTGTTACCTATTCTCGCTTACAGAGAGGATTCATCAGGCCCACGCTGCTGTGGCAAAAGCAAAAAAAGCCCTCCAACAGAAAGCCAAACCTCCTGCAAAGACAGTAAGTTGCCTGGTGCGCACGCGTGGTGCAAAGGTGGTTTACCCTGTTGTAACTGTTGTCAGCTGATAGGACTTCCAGCTGTCATGTCCTGAGGGCTTAGGGCGGATAACTATTCTACCCTATCCCTGACAACTAAGAAACAGTTTGAATCAAAATGTCTTGCATTGTGTCAGGAGGATGTTTGTACTGGGGACTTCGTCGGTAGCCAGGAAGAGAGAATTCCAAAAGTTACGTTAGAGATGCCTTCTGGCGTGATCTGATGCATGGGAGATGCTTTATGGTGTTCCCAATGGGTGACTAGTGGAACATAGGGATGGAGGCAGATGTGCTGGGCCAGAGCCAGCGTGGCTTTATAGGTAGTCTCCTCTGTTTTTGGTAGTCTTAAGGATTAGTTCAAAAATGTTCATGCTTCCTACATGGAAAGGGCTTCCAGAAAGGAGAAAAATGTAAACCACATCTAATGTAGTATCAAGTCATCTTCTGATAGTGTCTGTGGGATGGAAGCTGATCAAACAGAGTGCCTGAACTTTTAACAGGTGAAATCGCCCAAAGAAGCCATGCGAGTTTTGTTTTCTACGAATGGTATATTCTGCTTCCTGAGCTGAAAATTGACTGTGTGGGAGATTCAGTGTAGGATATCCTGCCCAAAAGGGTGGAATAGACTAGAGGGCAGCAGGAACGTTTTGGAGAGAGAGAGATTGGATTTATACCCCGCCCTTCACTACCCAAAGGAGTCTCAGAGCGGCTTACAAACTCCTTTCCCTTCCCCGCCCCACAACAGACACCCTGTGAGGTGGGTGGGGCTGAAAGAGCTCTGACACAAACTGCTCTTTTTCAAGGACAGCTGTGCCAGAGCTTGTGACTGACCCAAGGTCACATCAGCAGGTGCAAGTGGAGGAGTGGGGAATCAAATCCGGTTCTCCCAGATTAGAGCCCGCACACTTAACCACTACACCAAACTGGAGCACCCCAGAGCCCTGATGTCTTGCAGGAAACATTGAATGGGCTTCATCCATCAGAGGGCCTATTCTTTCAACTTCCCTTCTTCTCTTCCCTCTCCGCCCCCTGCCCAGTGAGCTCAGTGCATTTGTTGTTCTTGCTGGTAACGATCTTGTCGTTGCAGAAATCCAGCTGCAAGGAGAGTTCAGTGAAAGTGGCCGCAGGCAGCGCCCCTGAGCCGAGCCAGCTGAGCCTCAGTGATTCCAGCATGCCACCCACCCCAGTGACGCCCACGGCCCCTCAGTTGCCGGCAATGCCCATTTCACCACCCCCAGTCTCCGTGGTCAGCAAAAGTATGCCGAATGTTACTCCAGAGCAAGCAAAACCCAACCAAAGGTAAGCCCTTCCATTTTTCTTCTAAAAAAGTAGAGATGCATCCAGTCACTGGATATGAATTAGGGATGAGGTGTTCATACACTTATGGTACCATTTTAGAAGACGTGGATCTATCTAGAGCAGGGATCACCAACATGGCGCCCATGGGCACCAAGTCGCCTGCCAACATCAATCCTGGTGCCCACCAAGTGTTTGTAGAAAGTGGGCCAGACCAGATGGGATTTTTGCCAGCAGGGCTTCTGAATGGCCACCGGAGATCTGATTTTCTGTGCAGATTTTTACAAAAAATTGCTTTGGCAGCCGCTTCCACCACAGCACAAGGATCTGCACAGTGATTCAAGTTATGTGTAAATGAGAAAATACTTCTAAACATTATGTCCATTTTAAGAGCTTCTGCCTAAAACATTGCTGTTGGAGTTGCACATAGCTTCATTCTCTGACATTTTGTGGTTGGCGCCAACTCCAGAGCCAGACGTTTTGCGGTTGCACCCACCGTCTCAATCAGAATTACAAAGGTGCTTAAAAAGGCTTTAAAGGGTTGTGGATCCCTGGTCTAAAGAGACGGATACCACCAGGGTGGAAACCTGGTCCAGCCTGCAGCTCTAAGGCAAAATCTTAACTCTCCTCCAAGCTGACCATTATCATCCCATTGGGAACACGCTCCAAGAGCAGATCAGGTGCACCGCAGGAGAAGAATGTTTTGAAGCCAGCCTCATGGCTTAAAAGAACAAACTGCACTGTGAAGAGGAAGGGGCCAGAAAACCTTCATAGGTGTCTCACGCTGGTTGTCTCTGATTGGCATTTAACTTGTTGGTTCATTTCTTCAGGGAGCCAATAATGGTTTGATTTGAGGAGAAAATGATCACTTGTATTCAGTCGCTACCCTCAATGAAGCCAATGGGCAGCAGATGCAGAACAGACAGAAGGAAATCCTTTGCAGTGATTACAGTGTGGAACTCACTGCCAGAGGATGCTGTGAGAGCCACAGGCACAGACTGCTTGGGAAGGGGATTAGACAGATTGAAGGAGGCAAGTTCAATCAGTGGCTGCTAGCCCTGGAGTCTAAAGGGAACCTCCACATTCTAGGTGTGGAATAATTCAGACCTATTGGCATAAAATACACAAAATAATAATGGAAATAATGAATATCTATTTACCCTTCACACCAGAAGTCTTTTTATTAAATATGCTTCCTGATACTTGTAAAAAAAATGATCTGTGTATAATAACTTATATTTTAACATCTGCAAGAATATTAGTTGCTAAATGTTGTAAATCAGATAGAACACCTTCAAGAGAGGAACTAATACAAAGATTGTTGGAAATTGCGGAAATGGATAGGTTAAATATCATATTACAAGGAAAAGATGAAGAATTGTACTCCAAAAGATGGACTAGAGTGTATGCATGGTTAGATAACAAGTTTGAAAACTAGACTCAAAGTACTGTATACTTTTTTTGCTTTCTATGCTGTTTTGATAAAAAACTATAAATAAATATACCAATTATTATTTTTTTTTTAAAAAAAGGGAACCTCCACATTCAGAGGCAGTGAACTTCTGAATCCCAGTGCCAGGAGGCAACATCTGGGGAAAGGCCTCAGCTTCTATGCCCTGTTGTTGCCCCCCTAGAGTAACTGGTTTGGCCACTATGTGAGATGGGATGCTGGACTGGATGGACCACTGGTCTGTTCCAATAGGGCTCTTTTCTTACGGTTCTGTTTATCTAAAACCCTTGAATAATTTGCTATATTAACAGCAACATAGTTGACCCAAGACTGGGCATTGGAACTCAAGAGCTGTGTCACTTCCTTTCAAGTTAACCGGATGGTTTTTTTTCCCCTCCCATTCCTCCGCAGCATCCTTTTGGTGTCTTCCCCCACCATGCCGCAGCTTGGGACGTTGCTTTCCACGGCACAGAGCACCACCCCGACTCAGGCTGGGCCTCCGCAGCCACCTTCTCGGGCAGCCAGCCACACCGTCTCCTCTGGACTCCCCCAGGTCCGAGTGGTCACGGCACAGGCCAGCCTTCCGGCTGTGTCCCAGCCAGCCCCAACGATAGCGCAGCCACAGCAGCAGCCGCCGCCACTGCCACCGACATCTGTACCGCAGATCCGCATCCCTGCCACTTCTGCACAAACCAAAGTCCTGCCCCAGGTGAGGAATGTCTGTATGAATGCAAGTAATGAACTGGCATGAGTAATCTCCATCCCAGACTGTCTTCTCCAGCACTAATATCTCTGATTTCACGCTTTTAAAGACAACAGCTTAATACAGTGCAATGCCCTTAAAATGAGTCCTTTTTTTTATTAAACACCTGCATAGCGCAATAATGCTGAACACGTTTATCTCCAGTGGAATCAGCTAATGGGGTGGAAAGTGCATGTACTCTCCCTCACTGGAGATCGTGAACCTGCCTTATACTGAATCAGACCCTTGGTCCATCAGGGTCAGTATGGTCTTCTCAGACCGACAGTGGCTTTCCAGGGTCTCAGGCGGAGGTCTTTCGTGTCACCTATGACCTGATCCTTTCAACAGGAGATGCCGGGGATTGAACCTGGGGCCTTCTGCATGCCAAGCAGGTGGTCTGCCACTGACCCACAGCCCCCGTTCACGCAAAGGCTTGGGCAGCCATTGGTCAGAAATGCTCCAGCTTTGGAGTCCCTGCGCTGAATGTGCGGTTGGACTAGCTGGACTCCCAAGGCCCTTTCGAACTCTGGAAATATGATTCCTGTTTGTTTGTATCAGCCTAGTCCAGAAATAGGAGCTGCGGTGGCTCAGGTGGTTAAGACGCTGAACTGCAGGCTGTGGAAGGTCGGTAGTTCAGCCGTTTGAGACCCGAGTGTGCCGCATGACGGAGTGAGCTCCCGTCTCTAGTTCCAGCTCCTGCCAACCTAGCAGTTCGAAAGCAAGAAATTGCAAGTAGATCAATAGGTACCACTTCGGTGGGAAGGTAACAGCGTTCTGTGCGCCTTGGTGTTTAGTCATGCTGGCCACATGACCACGGAAACGTCTTTGGACAGCGCTGACTCTTCAGCTTTGAAACGGAGATGAGCACCGCAACCCTAGAGTCGGATTCGACTGGCTTTCGAGCAAGGGGAACCTTTACCTTTACCTTTTAGTCCAGAAATGGAGAGGGACATATTTAGATTCTTACGCTGCAAAATATCCCAGCCCCCATGATAGCTGTCATCTCCCTGATTTATTAAGCCCTTTCATGACATTGCAGCCTTTTCACAAAGTCTTCAGGAATCTCTTTCTACACCCCCCCCCCTCCTGAAGAGGTGCAGATGAAGATTCTGTGATGGGGTGACCTGTTCCATCCACTTCTAGGCGCCAGATATTCAGAGGCTTTTAAAATTTGCTTTGAGTAGTTTTCTCTCTGTTTGAACAAGCTGTTCATGGCTCTGTCTATAGAGTAGGCTTTTGGCCCAGAGGAGTCTCTCCTTTTCTGTAACTTGATTAGAGCAGATGAGCTGCTGGGGCGGGGGAGATATCTTTTTTTATTTTGAGATGGCTTATGTGGTGCAGATGCATGCCTTTATACCACGGAGTCCTCAAGCAGGCTGGGGATAATGTGGTAATTCTAGTGAATGCAAGACCTTCCTCCTCCAAGCCTTTCAAGAGACAGGTTTATGCTACACAGCCAAAGGCACTACCGGGGTTCTTTAAATTTCTTGTGTGTGAGGCTTCAAAAATACACTGGGTAAAAATCTGATGGAACCAATATGAGAATCTTCCCCTCTAGTAATCTCTTAGTAGTTTCACCATGCGGTTTTTGCAAGCAGATCCCTAGTTAATAATCAAGGGGGTACCTTCCCAATACATGCGAAGGTTGTCATTGGGTAGGTAGTTAAACATTTCTAGCAAAAATGGGCTTCAAGCAGTTGCCAAAAGACATTCAAAAGGGCAGTTTCCAAAAGTTATTCTGAAAGGATGGGAAATTGTTGACTCGCAGTTTCTGATGCCTTGAGCCGCCTGGAGCTGAATGGAAGGATCTCTCAAGTAATGCGTGTGACGTCTGTCTGTCTGCTCTTCCCATTAGGCTGTTATGACTGTCCCAGTGAAAGCCCAGACCAGCCCGGTCCAGGTGCAGCGGCCAGCCGTTTCAGTCACAGGGCCAGCCACTGTTGCTGGGACAGGAATCTCTGCAGCACCCAGTCCTGCCCCAAAGCCAACCACTAGTTCTCCAGGCAGCTCTACGCCCAACTCCTCCGCTGCTTCCTCCTCTTCCTCCTCCTCGCCATCCACCGCTGTCATCCAGAACGTCGGTGGCCAAAATATCATCAAACAGGTGAGAAGCACAGCACTGTTAAGGAGGAAATACGTTAACATGTAAGAACAGCCCGCACTGGAACCACCGGGGGTCCATCTAATCTAGCATTCTCTTTCCAGCAGGGGTCAGGTAATTAGTAACAAACCTTGCTCAGTCTGAGTGACTTTACAAACGAAATGTGATAGACAAGCCCCAGACACTTATAATTCAGTTGAGACAAGGGAAGGAGAGAGGGGGAAGGAATGTACCTGCATTGGTTGATGTTTGCATAGTGGCTAACGGCGGAAAGTATTCTTGTTGCTTGCTGCAGGCATCTGGGAAGCACAGGGAGATGGCTTCTGGAATACCAGGCTGCATTTAATGACCGTGGGTCTTAGAGATGCCCTCCATGAATTTGTCTAATCCCTTTAAAGACCTCTAAAGGAGAGGCTGTCCACCACTCACTGTGGAAGTGAATTTCATTTAGGTAGTAACAGAATTTGGCCTTGACCTGGACAGGCCAGACTAGCCCGATCTCATCAGAGCTTGGAAGTTGAGCAGGGTTGAACCTGGTCAACATTTGGATGGGAGACCTCTAGGCAAGTCTAGGATTGCCACGCAGACACAGGCAACAGCAAACAGCTTCTGTTCGCCTCTTGCCTTGAAAACCCTATGGGGTCACCGTGAGTCAGCAGTGAGTTGATGACACTTACCACCAATACTGGAATTCTAGTATTCGGCGGGGGAGAGAGAAATTTCTTTAAATTTGGAGGAGGAGAGGAGATTGGATTTGTACCCCGCCCTTCACTGCCCAAAGGTGTCTCAGAGCAGCTTACAAACTCCTTTCCCTTCCCCTCCCCACAACAGACCCCCTGTGAGGTAGGTGTGGCTGAGAGAGCTCTTGACAGAAACTGCTCTTTTTCAAGGACAGCTCTTATCAGAACTACGGCTTGCCCAAGGTCATCCAGCCAGGTGCAAGTGGAGGAGTGGGGAATCAAACCCGGTTCTCCCAGATTAGAGTCCGCGCACTTAACCACTACACCAAATTTGCACCGTTAATGTTGTGTAATTTTCTTCCGCTGACTTGTGGCCCAGTAGGACTTTGACTACAGGGATCAGGCAAATGCATTAAACATTATTGCTGTTATGTAACTTGTAACTATGTATTGGCCAAATGTTAAATATGCATGTAGATGCTAGCAAGACCAAGTCTGAAGATCATTGACTGCAAAAATCTGTTCTTCCACTCCCTTGATTTTTTAAAAAAAATTTCCAACGTCCTTCCTGATGAAAAGTTCTGTTGAGCTTGAAAGCTTCCACAGTGTCTTGTGTCATTTTGGTTGGTCCTAATAAAACACATTAGGTGTATTTTGTTCTTGGTTTTGGTCTTTGCATGGAGGTACTACAGTGCCAAGACCATGCACAGCCATACAGCCCAGAAAATCTACAACAACTAAAAGACAGCTATAGCCATTTACAACTTTTTTAAATATATGCGAATGCTGAGAGAGTGTGGAGGAAAGACAAGGCAGCCAACAAATCAAAGCATACATAACAAAATCGCATTTTAAAACCACCACCACCTGTCCCACTCACGTTGTTAAAACTATTATTTTCACGTCTCTGTAAGTGAGACCTGAAAACGACAATTAAAACATTAGGCAGGATCACTGGGGGTGCCATATTCCAGCTGGTGGAAGATGGCAACAGAAGGGGACAGAAGAATTAGAATTTTCCTGGGAAGAGAGTTCCAGAGTTTTGGTGCAATGACTGAGAAGGCCCTTTCTTAGGTTGCCACCTACCTAATCTGGGAGAACCGGGTTTGATTCCCCACTCTTCCACATGCAGCTGCTGGTATGACCTTGGGTCAGTGACAAGTTCTCTCAGAGCTGTTCTCTCGAGCAGTCCTCAAAAGAGCTCTCTCAGCACCACCTACCTGACAGGGTGTCTGTTGTGGGGAGGGGAAGGGAAGGAGATTGTAAGCCACTCTGAGGCTCCCAAGTGAAAGGCAGGGTATAAATCCAATCTCCTGTTCTTCCTCCTCTCCTCTCCTCTCCTCTCCTCTCCTCTCCTCTTCTCATAAGGCGGGGACACCCCAAGCAAGGCCTGTTTGTAGTGGCCGGGTGGGTTCATAAAGGTGGTCCTTCAGGCACGTCGGTCCCAAACCACATTTAGCCCTTTTTGTAATGAGTTTGGTTGTGAAAAGTTGCGCCTGTATTTTCTCTCTCTCTTTCCCCCCTGTAAAAGAATGGCCTCCCATCAACATTCCCGGGACTGCATAGCATTCTGTAGAAGTGATAAGGTGTGCCGATGTGACAGAGTGTGCTTTGCTTTACAGGTGGCTATTACTGGACAGCTCGGCATGAAGAACCAGCCCGGGAGCAGCATCCCGCTGGCTGCCTCCAACTTCCGCATCCAAGGCAAGGATGTGCTGCGCCTGCCTCCCTCCTCCATCACTACTGACGCCAAGGGGCAAACGGTTCTGCGCATCACTCCAGACATGATGGCTACCTTGGCCAAGTCCCAGGTCACGACAGTCAAACTGACTCAAGACCTCTTCTCCGCTGCTGCCGGGAGCGCGTCAGCCGGGAAAGGCATCTCGGCGACTCTGCACGTGACGTCCAGCCCCATCCAGTCTTCCGATTCGCCGGCCAAGACCAGTGCGCCCAGCTCCGCTTCGCCAAGCCCGGCAGGGCCCACGGTGGTCAAAGTGACTCCTGACTTAAAGACTGCCGAGTCTACCGGCTCAGCATTCAGACTGATGCCTGCTCTGGGCATGACCGTGGCAGACCAAAAGGGCAAAGCCATTACCACCGTGGCATCCACAGAAGCCAAGCCAGCTGCTACGATAAGAATTGTGCAGGGAATGGGAGTCATGCCCCCCAAGACTGGGCAGACCATTACTGTCGCCACTCACGCCAAGCAGATGCCCTCTTCGACCGTAGTGAGCATGCCGGGCACTGTCCATACCTCAGCTGTTTCTTTGCCGACCATGACAGCTTCCGTGTCAAAGGCAGTTGCTGTCGTGTCGGGAGGAGCCGGGACACCCATAACGATAGGGACGGGGGCCACCACTATGCGGCAAGTCCCGGTCAGCACCACCGTCGTCTCCACCTGCCAAGCAGTAAGTAAGGTTGCTGTGCTGTGAATTAAGCTGGGCTAGGAAGTCTTGAAGATGAGATGTCTTTGAGAGCCAGTTTGGTGTAGGGGTTAAGTGCGCTAACTCTAATCTGGGAGAACCGAGTTTGATTCCCCACTCCTCCACTTGCACCTGGCTGGATGACCTTGGGCAAGCCGTAGCTCTGTCAGAGCTGTCCTTGAAAGAGCAGTTTCTGTCAGAGCTCTCTCAGCCCCACCTACCTCGCAGGGGGTCTGTTGTGGGGAGGGGAAGGGAAAGGAGTTTGTAAGCTGCTCTGAGACTTCGAGTGAAGGGCAGGGTATAAATCCAGTCTCTTCTTCTCTTCTCCTCTTTTGAGTAGAGGGTGACTTAAAGTACAGCACTGAATGCCATTGGGGACTTGCTTATGATCTAGGTTGGAAGTTTTCTGCAGTCCTGCTATACAACCAGAGAATTTGGCATGGTGTGCAGAATTCAGCACCCTGAAAATCTGCACAACCCCCCCCCCAAATGTCTCACTCTGATGGATGCATTTTTTGGCTCGGAAACACATAATCACTGCTTAGGTTAAAAAAAATTCTTAGGACCCAAGGAGGTGCTGGTTAGAATTTCTAGCAGTTCCCTTTAATGAGCAGAAGCAAAATGGATTGTGCAAATTATGTAGATATAAATCCCGCATAAACTGGTTGCTGATTTCAGCCTTTTCTTGAATAAAATGTGGGGGGAGGGGGGTTGCTGTCAAGTTGCAGCTGATTTACGGCAATCCTGTAGGGCAGGGGTGTCAAACATATGGCCCGGGGGCCGGATCCGGCCCATCCAGGGTTCTTATGTGGCCTGTAAGCAACTGATGCCAAGGAGGAAGTGCTGGGGGGAGTAGGCAGAGCCACTCCGTTGTGGTTTCAGCACAGCAGGACAACCTCGTCTGCAGCAGTCAAGCATCATGGGGGCATCTGCCCAGCACTGCACTACTGCCTCTCCAGTCCGCCTATGTGGGTTTTCCTTTACACCCTCCTCCCAGCCCATGGGGCCTTGCAGTGAGGATACACCAACTCTGAGCTTACCAGCTGCTGTCCTTTATACAGTTTCTATCCCCAGTACCTGGCATTACGTTTTATGGCACACGTGGCCTGGCCTGACAAAGTCACATTTATGTCAGATTCGGCCCTCATAACAAATGAGTTTGACACCTCTGCCATAGGGTTTTTGAGGCAAGAGTCAAACAGAGGTTGGTTTGCCATTTCCTGCCTCTGCGTGACAAACCTGAACTCCCATGGTGGTCCTCCTATCCAAGTACTAACCAGGGCTGAACCTGCTTAGTTTCTGAAATCTGACAAGATGGGGGTGGCCTGGGTCGTCCAGGTCAGGGTGGCATATAATTTACATTGTTTCTTTAAGCTTTTAAACCCTGTTAAGCCCCTGTTAAGCCAGTGTGTGTTAACATTAGAGAAGCAATGGAGACATCTGCCTGTCAGTCATTTATTTGAGGTTCTTGTTCATTCCTACAGAATGGGTTAGTGGGTTGTGTAGTTTTCACCTGAGCTCTTAACTCCTGCCCAGTGTTCCCTCTAAGCTGAGTTAGTGTGAGCTAGCTCACAGTTTTAAGCCTCCAGCTCACAGATTTTTGTCTCCGCTCAGGAAGGATGGCTCCACAGCAAACTAATGTATGCAGTAGCCAGATCACCTGCTCACAACTTTAATGCCAGTAGCTCACAAAGTATAATTTTTGCTCACAGAACTCTACAGCTTAGAGGGAACATTGCTCCTGCCTACATTCAAAATGTTGGCATACCTATCACATTCAAAACAGTTCACTCTGAAGTTCCGAAGAAGTCAATTTCCAAGCCTCTGCGTCAAACTTAAAATGCTGAGTTTGGGTGGCAGAGCTTTGTCACTGGACTACAGAAACCAGACTTAAAATGCATTCTGGGGTTTGGAGCTGGTGACCGGTGTGTGGACTTGGATATGAAATGTGGCAGATTCACACCTGTGTTAAGCCCTGGTTATTTCCGCACTGCCCCTGAGCTTTCCTCTCAGTTAAAAGGCTTGAAAAAATGTTGATGGATCATTGCTTTGACGTGCTCAGGTTCATGCTCCTTCCATAATCCCAACAATTACAATTCTAATATCAGATTCAGGAGGAACTGCAATCCCATGGCAGTATCCTAGTGTGGCACCATGAGTTTCAGAATGGCATCAGCACCCTGTTCTTTTATGACAGAAAGCGCTCTTTGCCATTCCGGGTTCTGATTTCTTCTGTTTATCCAGGGGAAGCTGCCTGCCCGAATCACGGTGCCTCTCTCAGTCATAAGCCAGCCTGTGAAAGGCAAGAGTGTGGTGACCACCCCCATTATCAAGGGCAACCTTGGAGCCAAGTGAGTAAAATGTAGGCGGCCGGTGTAATGTTTAGCATTGCGTTTCTAATAAAGATCGCTGAGAGCCAGGATCAGATTAATGGAAACCTGGTTGCATAAGAAGGCTCGAAAGCACTGATGTCTGCCAATCCCGGTTAATAGTAAACACAATCTCTCTTCCCATATCTGTGCAGTAGTAAATGACCCCGGGTTTCCCTGAATGGTTGTTTTATGTGTCTAATGGGTAGTCCCTCTCTTTTTCAACTGTCCTCTGTTTATTTAATAGCAGTGATTCACATGTGATAAAATATGCATTTCCATGCTTTCAAAGTCTTTATCTCGCCACTTCTAACTTTGAGATGCTGTTAAAAAAATGAAGGCAGCCTGGTCAATTTGTGACCATCTCAGTTCCTAACTAGACATGACAACACCCCTGAAATCACCATGGAGATGCTGCTGCCATTTTAGGGAATAAATCCCCATTGTGTACTGTGGGGGCCTGATAGGGATGGGGGGGCATGGGGGAGGGGCACCTGTCCCCCCACTGCTGTTTTTAGGAGCCCAAGTGCCAGGGGTTAGGGCTTTTCAAAGCAGCATGGGGGGGGAGGTGCCTCTCCTTCCCATTGTGCCATGCTTTCAATCAGGATTGGGCCCCCGCAGCCCCATGGTGAATTTGGAGATATTGTCACGTCCAGTTGGGACTTGAGTTGTCGGTCCTGTTCCCCCTTAAAGAAAAACCATGGAGTGCAGAGCTTCCTAGACCCTCTTTGCGAGAAAAAAAAAAAGTGAAGTGCTCAAGACTGTGTTTAGAATGGAGGTACTAATAAGGACTGCGGTGTTTTACTGTCACCCCACCATCAAAATAAAAACACTAATTCGTCAGTTGAGGATTTTGGCTAAATACAGGACCTTTTGCAGCAACCTCCTTTGTAAACCGCAACTGCTTGGTCATTTTTGTCAAAAAAACCCACCCCTGGGTGGCAGTTCTGGCGGGGGCTGAAAGAGCAGTGCATTGGCGTAATATATTCCCCAGGCCTTGCTGCTCTGCGAGGGGCACTCGAGAGCAGTCCTCTGTATCTCCAGTAACTCCTTGATGGATTCCTTTCCTTAGCATCAGCGGACTGGGTAGAAACATCATCCTCACCACGATGCCAGCTGGGACAAAATTGATTGCTGGGAACAAGCCCGTGAGCTTCCTCACTGCTCAGCAGCTGCAACAGTTGCAGCAGCAGGGCCAGGCGACACAGGTAAGGATCACACCCCTCTGTGTGTCTCACCTTCTGGTGCTTCAGGGCTGTATCTGTGACAGCCCCGTCCACTTCCCTGTCTCAGAGGCAAGGTTTTCCCTCCGTTTTTCTTTCCCTTTCTGACTGAGCAGCCCTAGTGGTCTGTTTTCTTCTTTCCTGAAGAACTCTGGCTGTCCCTGTGTCAATATGATGTTTTACTGCTGGCTCAGCCCAGGAACCCGAGGGAAGGGTCAGGATCGGTCTTTTAACATAAATCACTGTAAACGGCACTTGAAGTGTTTTAAGATTCAAAATTAACTAAAGAATTTATTTCAACATAGAGAGGAAAGGCCAGGTGAAATCAGGGGTTGACGTTTCTGAAATAACTCAATATAGATAACTCAGGTAAAACCAGCAGATGCACAGACTTTAGTTCTTATGTTTCAGGCTAAAGAGTTTCTTAAGCTATTCACAGGCCCCGGTCACACAGACGATTTTGGCCTGGGAGAGGGATGGATCGGGGGCGCAGCAAACGGGCGTGATCTCACCGCAACATCTGGGAAGCGGCGCACACCCATCCCCGATCCGTCCCTAAACCCGGAAAAGCCGCTGTAAAAAAGAACCTCCTACAAAGGAGGACTTACCTGAAGCACCGCAGCAAGCGTGGCCGTGGGATCGCCACCACGCCCGTCGTCTGGAGCAATCCAAGCTCCCGGCCGAACTGCGCACGCGCACACATGCGCAGTTCAGCAGCCTCGCTCTCCCTTCAGTAGCTTCCCCTCCAGGATCTGATCATGCCGGGGAGGAACTGCGCGGCAGCTCAGGGGATCTATGTGATCCTGCCACCGCATGTTTCTTTTGGTGCGGCTTTAAAAAGCCGCAC